CAAGTAAACAAGCTTTAAGATGATTCCAATAACTCTACATGCCCAAAAATTGACGAGAGCCTGATTCCACCACGCTGCCTCACATATGTATTTAGATGTGAGTGTGTTTGTGTGTGTGTGTGTGTGTGTGTGTGTGTGTGTGTGTGTATGTGTGTGTGTGTTTGTATGTGTGTGTTCGTATGTGCGTGTGTGTGTGCCTGTGTGAGGGGAAGGGAGTAAATGTTTCTTTCTAAATAGTGAAAGCTCTCTGTTCCTAGAAAAAATGCAAACTCAAAGGAGATTTCAGAGGAAAGAACGAGGATAAAATTGGGCCCAACCAGTATTTGCGGCAAGAATTTCTTCCATGTCGTCAACGTTCTAAGCATGAACAGCAAAGTGTTCGTGGGTGCTTGGCGAGTACTCTAGGGTAGTATGTTCTTTCTTTCTCATTATATATCGATCGTTCTCATCTCTTCTCTATTTTTTTTTCTACGATGCTTTAATGTTGCAAGTGCCAGAAAACTCTTACTAAAACTAAAACTTGGTAAAATTGAAATTGAGCAAGGTGGGTTAAACGACATTATTATACAGAATATTGTTGTTTAGTTTAAGGTGGAAAGAATGATACCAGAACAGCTGACAGATGAATTAACAAGTAAATAGATGAATAGATAAATAAATTAATTAATTAATTAATTAATATAAATAAATAAATACAAAAGGACGAATGAAAGAATGAATGAATGAAAAATATTTTTAAGACAGAAAGAAAGAAAGTACGGTTTTTTTCTCATTCGAAAACAAGCTCTGGACGCTGTGCAATCATTTAATGCTGACAGTACACGGACTCACACACACACAACACACACACACGCACACACACAAACTACCAGACACTTTTTAAAAGAAAGAAAACAAAACATTTTTGGAATAAAAATGATAGCACAATTCGTGGTCTGACAGCATTCTTTATTTCCGTACTGGTATAGTTATTTAAATTAGTTTTCATAAATGATAATATTTATTATCATTATCTTTTTATTATATTATATCATTATCACTACCTTGATGCTCATCACTATGGTAATTAATTTTTATTCTGATTGTTATTTTTATTTTGATATAACTGTTATTTTGATTAGTATTATTAAGAGGCTCATAATATAGTAGTATTAGTAGTAGCAGCAGAGGTAGGTTTATATTACCATGATCTTTATTATTTCTTTTTGAATACACGACATTGTATGAGCTATAAGTTTCAGCCTACAAACGTTGCAAGGCTTAAGTATTCAGTATATTAAGTCTTTAACTGTATATCTACGAATTTAAAAGAAATATAGGCCAAGAACAAAAACACATTATTGTTGCAGTATTATTAGATACTTTATGGGCAGACACTAAAAGACGGCTGACGAAAATGTTCTAAAGTAAAGTGGATAACCTTTTTGTACGGCACACGAAATATAAGTTAAATTTTTTTAAAGTGAGTAAGAGTAGAGTATGAATGGAGGATGTAAATAAGAAAGAATAAAACTTTCAAAAGTTTCCTTGAAAAAAAAAAAGCAGAAAGAGAAGAGCAGTTAAAAGCAAACAGGCGTACTAGAGTAAAAGGCTGGTCGGAGGTTGGGGCCGCACCAAATCTCTGTTTACACAGACAACGGAACGTGATGTAAGCAGTGTGGGGGTAGAGGGATGGTAGGGTTAGGGGTTAAGGAACAGATTAAAACGATGAAGCTTTAACTTGCTGAGAAAACATACTTGAATGAGTTCTGTCTTGTTTCTTAAAAGTGACTTTTGAATTAGGCGTTGTTGCTGTTCTTTTTTTTTAACTTTGTTAATTTTGTGTAATTTTTTTCGGTTGGGGG